GACTTGTCAAGGGTAACTCACATTCTCTTTCTCTCTCTCTCTCTCTCTCTCTCTCTTTCTTTCTCTTCTATCTAGCTAACTAGCATGGTAAGGCTATTAGTATACTGTCTTGAAGAGATTATATATACCTAATACTTGCACCGATATGGGGATTCAAAGGTTCTTACTTCTTCTTTACACACATTCTGTGACCTCTCTCTCTCTCCCCGTGTGTGTGTGTGTGTGGGTGTGTGTGTGTGGGTGTGTGTGAGGGAGTGATTGTGCACGCACGCACAATGATTTACATTCCTGATTACTTGCACTGACATAAAGATGCGCAATTGCCTTCCTTTGCACATTCTATTGCCCCCTCTCTCCACATCTTTCTCTGATTTACTAATACATTGTCTTGAAGAGATGATATACTGCATTGTTGTTTACGACCAAATTTGAGTGAGGGATAGAGCGACCCTTTCTCTAATCCGACCTTCAAACAAAATCTATTATAGTATTACCAGATTGGTAGAGATTGGGGTGTTGTCAAATTATGTCCTAGAGAGAATCGATTTCTTGAGTCAATTCTCTATGCTGGCAATGTATTCACACAAGCAGATATACTTGAACTAGAAAAATCGTAGTAAAATAAATGGAATTGAAAAATGAATGCAAAAGAGCGTCAGGAAGTTGATTGGGGGGTAGCCCATTGGCCTGGTACAAGGAGTTGGAGCTCAGTTCAGCCCAATGGCTTGATTTGCATCCTTCTTTGCCTTGAAAAATTCTTGCTGGGATTGAAGGTATTTACTCGAAGATCTTATTCTTATGGATGGATTTCTAGAATTTAGGGTACCACAATTATGGTATAATTTAAGATGGAAAAGACTTAACGGGTCATGGTTATGTGGATTTTGGTCAAGATTTCAGGAATTTGGATCAAGAAGCTTGGTCTAGCTATTTGAAATTACAGGGTAAGGGAGGCGAAGGTTGGGGTGAAGAGGTCACATTTAGGGTTGTAGCCATCGCCCTGCAGGGTTTCGGTAAGTTTCTCCATAAGAGGGTCCCTAGGGTAATCATGCATGGGTTTATAGGAAAAGAATATTTCTATTTGCCATGAAGTGTAACGTGGTGAATATCATCACTTTCATCATCATCATCATTTTCTCATATATTATATAGATTGTTTAGCTCTACGGGCTTAGAAAATTTGCTACCTTACCCTTCATAGAAAATAAAATTATTTTTCTTATTAATTACGCTGACAAAGACTGCCTTAGGGATGGATTTTTGGGTAAAGCTTACCGAACCTCTGCCATACCATAGCCACGACCCTAAAACCCTAGACCTAATATCTTGACCTACCTTTGCCTCCCTGAACTTGCAATGCCAGAGACCTAGAGCTAGTTTCCTAGCCCAAATCTATAAAAATTTGAGCCAAGTATACATGACTATGACCCTTTGAGTCTTTCACCTCTTAGTTCCACTGGTTTGGTATTTGGTAACTTTGGTTTGATAATTTGGTTGGTAAATTTTAAGTTTTAATTGGATATGGACCGAGTTATGGTTCTGCTTTTGGAGTGTGTGCTAATGTGTAGTATACTTTTGAAGTCTGATATGCCCTAAATACCTAATTCTTATATTTTATACAATATATATATTGTTAGAGACTATAGAATCCTTTTTTTATTCAACTGAGCCACCCAGGTTCTAGGCGCCCGCCTAAGCATTGGGCGGCATGACCCTTTGAGTCTTTCACCTCTTAAAGAAATCCATCAATTTGAATTAAATCCTTGAGTCCAAACCTTCGAGCCCAGCAATAATTTTTTAAGGCGATGAAGTTCAAAAATAGAACCTTCGAGCTAATCCAAGCTCCAACTCCGGGTGCTAGGTCAGTGGACCCTGCCTCAAGTAAGGCATTCCCATACCTATTTCGTAAGGTCTGTCAATTTCATTTCTATTTCCTTTACTGCAATTTTTCTAGTACGTATTTGCTTTGGTGAATTCTTAGGCGGCATCACCGGCGGTCTGTAGAAAACCAATTTAAGAAATCGATTCTCAACAGAATTTGGCAAGATGCTTTTTTCTACCAATTCGGTTAATACTATTATTGATTTTGTTTAAAGCTTAAATTAGAGAAAGGATTGCTCTAAATCCCTCACTCAAATTCAGCAGTAAATAGTTGTGCTTGCGCTGATATAAGGACACAAAAGTGCCCCTTTGCACACATTGTCTGATCTGTGTGTGTGTGTGTCAAGCTAATCTATCACCATTGTAGAGATGATACATCACTGAGTATGCAAAAGTGCCTCTTTGCTCATCTTCCGCTCTCTCTCTAAGAAAAGCTAACCTGTATCCTACATTATCTTGAAGAAATGCACATCCCTCAGTCCCTGCACTGATATAGTTATAAAAACATGCCTATTTGCCACATTCTGTTTAGCCTATTGCTACATTTTTTTGTGATATATCCTGTCACAGTTGCCCGGATTTAAGGATACAAAAGGTACCTCTTGCATCCATTCTATGACATGCTAACACAATCAATGCAGTTGTGTCATCTCTTTGTTGGGCTCTATTATTTATTATTGTTTGTCCATCTATGTTCGTTTTCTAGATCAGTAGTGCTGTCATTGTCCATCTATTGTTTCAACTTAATTGCAGGATGAAGATGGTTTTGAAGCATATCGATGTTTCATTGTCCGCACTCTGTTCTTCCAAGTTTATCTTCGTGTTCTAATGGTTGAACTTCTCATTGGAGTCTTTGAATATTTCCTCATAAATATTTTTACTCGTAGAGAATAAAATGTCACCCCATTATGGGTATGAATACCCCTTATTCAATACTGCCTTCAAGGACAAGATTTTATTTGAGTGCGTTTATGAAATGTGGCTAGCCATGCATCGACCATATTATTGTCTAGAAGGTGTAAAGAAACTTATGTGTGTGTGCCTGCGTGTGTGTGTATGTGTCTCTGTGTGTATGTGTGCATGCGTGTGTGTGTGTCAAACAAGCGAACACTTATGTTTACTGGGCATTGGTACTATTATAGTAGGACCACAGAATGCTCGGTAAACTGAAGTGTTTGTTTGTTCGGTTCATGCACACAGAAATCAAAAGAAAAAGAACATTTGTACATTTATAGCCAATAAAAGAATGTTTGTATAAAAAGAATGTTTGTACTGTTATATCATTTGATTTCTTTGGCTTCACAATTGTTTTTGTGGGGGTGGGGGACTGTTTGTCTCTTTTCTGTTGTATTCCTCTTCAAGGCATTTGGTTTTTACTATTCAGGCAGCTGCTGAGATGGACTTCCGACCAAGTAGGATGGCAGTTGTTGCGAACTCTGTAGAAGCTTTCATTAGGGAATTCTTTGATCAAAATCCTCTCAGCCATATTGGTTTAGCGACCATCAAAGATGGACTCGCTCATCGCTTAACTGAACTGAGTGGTAGTCCCGAGTCACATATTAGGGCTCTACGTAGCAACTTGGGGTCCTCTGGTGATGCCTCATTACAAAATGCCCTAGACCTTGTTCATAGCTATCTCGAGCAAATCCCATCATATGGACACCGAGAAGTCATAATCTTGTATTCGGCTCTTAGTACATGTGATCCAGATGATGTAATGGAGTCAATTAAAAAATGCAAGAAAGCAAAGATACGGTGTTCGGTTGTTGGGCTTTCGGCTGAGATTTACATATGTAAACATCTCTGTGAGGAGACTGGGGGATCCTACACTGTTGCATTGGATGAGGTGGGTATCTTTGCTATTGTTTCCCTTTGTTGTTTCTCTACTTTAGATATTTTCAGGTCAGTTTAAATGGTTGACATGAAAATTGCAGGGTTTTCTTATTTTTCTTTTCTTTTTTTAAAAATAAAGATGCTGCCAGGGTGGTCCCAAGAGCAACCTAGCCCACAATCTCGCATCCAAACCACATAGTTAGGGGGCTTTTGATATGCAAATGATAAACTTTGATTCATCTTTGGGCCCTTAAATCCTACATCCGGTTGTTCCTCAAATGGATGGTTCTAAGTCAATCTTTAATTGGGATTTGATTTGGATTATATTTTTAGCTCCAAATCAATTGTTTTTCTAGAAAGTGATCTTCCATATAGTAAAGATGATAAGAAAATTTTCAGATAAAAAAGATCCTCCTGACTATGATTTCTGGATGGCGGGAACATGTGTTGACCGTGGTCCAGCGAGCTCACCAAATACTTTCTGAAGTAATAAATAATGTAATATGTTCTAATATTTCCCCATATTTCCCCTTTATCTTCCATTTTATCTGCTTTTTCACCTTTTCCCCGTTTCTTTTAATCTGTTGCTCCATTTTCTTTAAATTTTCAATGTTTTGGGTTTTGGCAGTCTCATTTTAAGGAATTATTGCTAGAGCATGCCCCTGCCCCACCAGCAATAGCTGAGTTTGCGGTCTCTAACTTGGTTAAGATGGGTTTCCCACAAAGAAGGGGAGAAGGTGTTGTTACCATTTGTTCATGTCACAAGGAACCTAAAACTGGTGGAGGCTACACCTGTCCAAGATGCAAAGCATGCGCATGTGAACTACCCACTGAGTGCCAAATATGTGGGTTGACTCTTATTTCCTCTCCACATTTAGCGAGGTCATATCATCATCTGTTCCCAATTACGCCATTCGAAGGAGGGCTGGCCACGCTTCCTTATAATTCACTGCAGAGGTTACCAAAGACTTGTTTTGGCTGCCAGCAGGTTCTACCTAATCTAGGTAATTTATGCATTATTGGTACATTAGATAAAGTGTGTATTCTATGCCTACAATTGATTATAGGGATCTTTAGGGGCAATGATTTCATGCAACCATTGTATAGTAATATGATGCAATAACCTTAAAAAACCATCATATGGCCATTTGTTTGATCCAAAATTTGAAATATACAATTTTTTCATCCTGATGAATAATCACAAAAAAAGAAAAAATTGAAAACACAACCTAAAAAGTTATGTTTTAGCCCAATTAACATAGGCCGTTCATTTTGGTGAGATGCTTAGATCTAGGCCTTCGAAGGATTTTTTCATTTCCAAATTTTTTGGATGGCTTTATTATCATTAAACGAACAATGTTAAAAAAGAAAAAAATGATTTTGAGTTTATAAAGGCTTAAGATCTTGAAATTCACAAAATGAATGGTCTAGATTCGTTTTTGGAGGGAACTCATTTTGACCATATCTAGGGTTCAAATTGAACTTTTTTTGGGGGGGATTGATTATTGGGATGAAGAGAGTGTGTGTGCAAACTTTGGGGTCATACAAATACCAAAAAAAATATGGTTTTCTAGAAGTGTCGTTGCATTATACTATAATACAACCGTTGCATTGGATCATTGCTCGATCTTCAGATATGTATTTGATGTTTTCTTATCTAGAAGAGTTAGACAGAATGGAAGCAAATGTTACTATTGACAACTAGGTGAACAAATTTGTAGCATCATGTCACTCCGGGAAAAAAAGAAGATGGCGAGGGTCTGAGGGAAATTATACGTGTATAGATATCTTTTTTGTTGATCGATAAAATTGTAGGAGTTAATCGATATTACAATGTTATATGCACTGAGGAATAACCTTATTTAGAGAATGTTGCACATCTTTAGGATAATGTTGCCTTAGTTTCTTAAGTCATATTTGCCAGCTTAAAATCAGTGGGATATGTGAATGAAAACATGAACAAGGAGATTGTGAAGAAAGTGTTCTCATTAAGTCATGGTGGGCTCCAAAATGGTTTTTGTGCATAGTAAGTCTCAGTATAATGATTTAAATACTCCTAGCCAAGTAATATTTAAAAAAAAAATAGACCTAGCCAAGAAAAATTGAACAATGGACTCTAAAATGATAAAACAGTAAGATTCCTTCCGATGTACCTTGGACTTTCTTTAACCATCAATGAAAATTACATCAAAAGACTGATTAGCTCCATCTTCCAAAATTTTGGGAGTTGAATTAGGCCCACATGCCCATGCTTCCCCCACTAGAACTTTCAACATCATCCCAAGTATTCCTTGTGTTCCCCCCAAATTTCCTGCGTCTTAATGCTAAGTTTCTCATCTGCTACTCTTATTTTCTTTTTTGTGACATTGTATTTCATTGTCACATTGTCATTTGATATCCAAAGGCAATTTTTATATTTTGATAAGAAGATTATCATTGGATATCCATACATGCAAATTTTTTGGGCGTAGTTTCTGAAATGTCCCTTGTTTCCTGTTATAAAAGAGATTTTCCCAGTTTCTAATCATATTCGTTTTCAACTAGCTTTTGCATACCTCTCTTGTAATTCATCCATTTCTCTGAGTCATTTTCCCTTGAGCAATCATAATTCAGCCATTTGGGCTTTACCTTGGTTTTCTCACCAGCTATCCAGATTCCATAAAATTTTGGGACCTGGATGATCATGTATTATAAGGTTTTATTTGTTAGGGAAATTCTGTAGGAAAAAATTAGCATGATTCTTATGGTCATAATGCTGACAATGACATGTATATCCCTGTGTTGGATGGTGCTGGAGGGAGAAACACACAATTAAATGAAAGTCATGTCTTTTGGGGCCCACTCCACTCCACCACCATTCAACCTATTGATGGGAGAGTTATAACCTAAAGCCATGCTCTTATTATGACCAAAAAGCATAATAATAGATGGACCTATATTATATGATCAGATTTGCTAAAAATAAATGGTCTTTTTGTCCAAGTGCCTTGACTTCAGTCTGGAAAACCAACGCGACACATCTGTACAATTATTATTTTATATTAAGATAATAGAATTTGATTATATATATAATAAATAATTCATATTTATTATACTTATATGTGGTTGGTGCAGCAGTACACCACACACATACCACAAGATACTTTGGGTTCAAACTCCAACCTTGTGCTCTATACCCGTCTTTAATATTCCCATGTTTGGAAGTGTTGAAGTGATGCTTCAGTAAAAATGAGAGTCCGAGTAAGCATGCCTCTATGGGAGTTTGGAAATATGGCCCTCAGTATTTTTTTTATACTGATTTTCTGTGCAGGAAACAAATCTGGTGTTCGTGTCTCTTGTCCGAGATGCAAGCAACACTTCTGTGTTGACTGTGACATATACATTCATGAGAGCTTGCACAATTGTCCAGGCTGTGAGAGCTTGAGGGACTTCAAGCGAGAAGGCGACGCCACTTCAGATTCAAACGTTTTTAGTAATAAGAGGCCAGTTCTTTTTGTGGGGCAACAACGAAACTAACTTACAGGTGTATCGCTGTTTATCTATGCATCACCTGATTTTTTTACATTCAACTGCTTGGCCCCTATGCACGGTCTCAAGTCTGTCTCTGTGGTTCAAAGAAATAACTGTTCCATGAAAGTAACAGCCATTATATTGCCAATGCCCCCAACTGTTATGATATATGGAGGTAACATGCGGCTGTGTGTGATTGTGTTCTCTTTTTTCTTGGGAGGGGTTTGTTTCAGTTGTCCACTGAAATAACATAAGTTATTCCACAACATGTCTTCCTTTATGGTTTATTCGCCATTTCTTCGGGCATTTCTCCATTGTTTTCCACTTCTCAATCTTTCTTTTCCTTATTTGCTTTACAGTGATTTTTCCTGATACAACAGCCCTTAACATTATCAAATGGAAACATACGCAGTCCCATATGGTCCTTTATATCCCTTTTTTTGGATCTTATGTTCTGTTTCCTCATTGTTCCCACTGCCCCTGCATGGGTTTGCTCTATAGCCCCCATCAATGCTAAAATTCATTGCGTCCCTTTAACTTCAGCTGGTGATAGACATTACTAAATTGGGTGAGGGAAATGGGGGTCTGAACCTTCATGTTTTTCCTGAAAAGCCCAAACAAGCCAACCTACCTTTTCCTTCATTTCCTAGCATAGCAAGGAAAACAAAACAAAGAAAAGAAAAAAAAGAAGAAACTAGAAATAGATGGCAATGGGTGAGTTGGGCCCAGCTTGATTTTTTTCTGGCCTGATGATTCAAACCGGATTGGAGGCCTCTATATTTCGAACCGGATGGCTTTGGAATCAATGTTCAGTTGTATTTTTCTTGATGGTAGAAGTGTTGTTTGGATAATATAGAGATAATTGTGATATTTATCATTGTCATCATACACATTAATCTTGTTTTCTTGATTTTACCTTTAGTTGCTGAGGAAGGGGTTGCAATTCCTGTTTTTACTTTTTATGTTGGATTTATTGATTTGTAATGGTGTTGTGGATCAATAGAAAATACTTGATGCCATATGCCACTAGTCAAAGAATGTTGTTTATACAGGTTCAAGAAGCAGCATAATAAGCAATATTGGAATTGTTACTTAGACTTAATATTTATCTAAGTGATTCATAGGAACACTTGATTAACTTGGATGGTTTTTAACAAAATCAGAGAAGAGACAGTGATCTGTGAGCAAGAGTGCAATACACCTGTTCAACCTGTTCTTATAAGCTTGATGGTTTTGATTATAAAAGCAACCAGCATAACAGGAGCTTCAAAATACAAGGGATTTGTTTTGTTGAAAGTTTGTACACAACTGAATGTAAAAGAAAAATTATTTCAAAAGATAACTGGTTTTGAGTTCCTTAAAGGCTAGAGCTACTGTTTACAAAAGCAGAAGGTTTACATTCACTGATACTGGGAAATAGCAGACTCATCTCCTCCCTCCCTTTCAATTTTTATTTTTCCTCTTTTAGACGGATAAAAATATTTTCCCCAGAATTCATGTCACTCAAATACCTATTTATATACTTAGGAGATATAAATAAGTTTCCTCACAAGAAGAACCTTATCATTTTTGTAAATTAAACTCTCTCTCTCATCCGTTGAGAATAGAGAACTCTCTTATTTATGTGTATGAGAGAGATTGGATTTAGCTCTATCTCTGAGATTGGATGTAGAGAGAGGTTTCCTCAAAAAACTTATAAGGCGATACTACTTGAAAAATCTCATAGCAAGAAAAATCTCATAGCAAAGAATGATCTTTTCATGAATCAGAAGCTCTACACTGTTCATCTAGCATATGAAGCAACCTTGATATACAGAGCCAAAAAGCTTCCTGAACTTTGTGGCATGAAGAGGTGGAAACAGAAGCCACAAGGTGGAGGAAGAAAGTCTGAGCGTGTGGTTCAAAGGCCATACGGACTATGAATGGGATCCACGCCCCAGGTGCCGAATTCACTGCTCTCAAAAATGCACGTACCCCACTCACCATCCGGACTGTCATTTTATGTCCCTAGTCACAAATCAACAACAAAAGTATTTGTTACATTGTAGAGAAAGAGAGTTTAGAAATGGGGAGCATGTGAGTTTAGAAATATCTGGTCGTGACAATTGGGTTAATCCAGAGGGACAACCCACCCACCCAACATAGAGAGAGTATGTGTTTACAAATGGCTTAACTGGGTTAGTATGGTAATATAAAGGGCCGGGCCGGGCCACCCAAACATATGAGAAAGAGAGAGGGAGAGAGAATTTAGAAATGTCTCGACAAATAAGAAGGTATGGTAATGGTAATTGTAATGGTAATATAAAGGGCCACCCAACATCAGAGAGTAGAAATACCTCAAACAGTATTGTATGGGTACCGACACAGGTGTCATATCTCAAATGTCTACTACATCGGCCCATATGCCTCCCTCCCGTACGATTACACACACTGAAAAATAAATAAAAATTCAAAATCCATGAAACCAAAATTTCAAAATAAAAATTTACTTTATGCTACAACAATAAAATTTAATTTGTAGATCTTAAAATGATATTTGAATTATTTTATTAATAACAATTATATATATTAGACTTAAAGTTCAAAAAACAATTATTGAGTACACCCCAAACCATCGATTGGGTCGTGTGTCATTGTGCTCAAACACGCCCCCGACACATCATCCACACATGGCCGGTTGAAATTATTATCGTGACCACGTTTCGGAACCGTATCTAAATTTCAAATATCGAGTGAAATACAAAGGATCACGATTTTTAAGTCATTTCAAAAAATAATTTCATTCCTAGGTTTTGAATATAAGACTATTTGTGATAACACCGAAACTACTAGCACCACACGATTAGTATGATGTACATTTATATTTATAATTATATTATTTACGACTTTACAAAGTCCAAAGTTCATGCTATAAATGTACATGTTGCACTTATTAGACAAAGTCAACAACACAATATTAATAAAAGAACCATTAAATGCATGGGTGTGGTTTGTATAGAGCCGAGGCTCTAAACAATCAAATACTGTAGAGAAATCTTTGTGACAGCCATAAATATATTTTCATTTTTAATTATAAAATTTAAAGCTACAAAATTAGTGTAGATCAAGCAGATCTATGAAAACTTGAAAGTCTTGAAAATTGACCGTCCAAAAATACATTACAAGATGCACTATTTCCAAAACTTGAAATCTATTTTTTTTTCTCTCCATGCATCTTAATGCTGAGATGATCAATTTGAGAACATTTGGGCATTAAAACAACCTCTTCTAGTGAAATTGTTGAAGTTTATGAATAGAAAAAGTATACAATGAGCCCATCTATCTTTGATACAAAATGGTCACAATTAATCTTGACTATTAGATGTGAAATTAGATGGCTTTATTTATTCCATTGACCAAGCTCAAACTTCAAAAATTTTTTTCTCAAACTTTGTCACACGCCCAAGCTATCAAATTTCACATTAGATGGTTGTAAGTAATTGACCTCCTTGTATCAAAGATAAATGATCTCATTGTATACAATCCCAAATTAATATTTTTTAATGTGTTTGTCATTAATTTATTTTCCTGTCAATTAATATAGACGTTTTACATATAGGTACAAAATATCATTATCAAAATGATTTAAACATCATTTTAAAATTATAAAAGAATAGAAACATAGATATTTTTATTTATTTTTACATAAAATAAATTTATATTTTAAAATATTATTTTCGTAGATTTTTATTTTTCATTTCATTTGTTTGTTGCTATATATATATATATATATATATATATATATATATAATAATATATATATGCGTAGGGTACGACGTACTACCGTTATTTTACTGACGGACAAGAACTAATTAAACGTTAAGACAACAAC